TACTATGGATAAATATATAGATAGATAGATAGATAGATAGATAGATAGATATAGATAGATAATGTACTAGGATCTTACCTTCTACGGGGGCTTTTCATTAAAGACATTTTTCTTAACCTAAAATAAATGAATATTGATATTTATTATATTTATTAAAAAATATATTCAAATATCTTTAGCCTACACCGTATAATTTTTTTAAATGATGCAAAACTGAGCTTACTTTAAAAATTTCTTTGAACCTATTTTAAGTTTATATTCCATACAAAAGAAAATAATAAACATAATCATGAAGGAGAATAAATTAATGTTCATTTCTATACAATTCATTAAGATGGAATTCGAGACTTAGGATGAAATATATTAAGGTCATTTTTATAATAACAAAGAAATGGTTTCAAAAACATTTTTAAAGCAGTTCAATAAAATAAAAGAGTTGAAAAAAGGACATTTTAAAAAAGCAGTGCTGCACTATGTTACAAATAAAAAGCATGTAATTGTTATGAAATGAGATTTGTTCGTAAATTTGCATAATTATATGGTACATTAAAATACGAATAGTTTTATTTATTTATTTCAAATTTCTCAAAGCAATGGTTTGAAAATTAATTGGCGATACTCAAAATAAATGAACCAGAAATGATTTTCAAGAAGTAACATTTATCAATGACTCTGAAATGTTTACTGTTAGTTCTCGTAAAAAAATGTTATCTTTTATAATTTAAAGGTCTGCCTGTTTTTCATTGAAGTGTTTAACTTGTTTAGGTTGAAGGAAATAAGTATAAAGAAAAAATCAGGACAAAAGTAAAGAAAAATAGAAAACACTTTAAGAACAATGCTTTAAGAAAAAACGTTTTAGTTTTATGAATATCTATTACATACGGTTGAACAAACATTCCTCTAATGCAAAAAGTTTTGATGCACATTATTTTAAAATGCGATCAAATAATGCATTTTATAAATTTTAAAAAAATCAATGCAATTAAGGTCATTTGATAAAGAAATGCTGAAACTCAAGCCCTATCCTTCAGACCATGAACCTAATATGCTCCTGAGTATTGAAAAATAATTTGAAATTTTCAAAGAAGCATATATAGATAAAAAAAAAACTTCGAAGTGCTATTTTGATTTTGATAATTTTACTCTGTGACAAAATTTCATTGGTATGAACGTATAGGCTCTTCACAATATCGTAACATTTCTAGAATTTTAAAGAATAACTAACTTAAATAATTGCAATTAATTAATGATATTAATAATTAACAATAATTAACTTTAATTTCAACCAAGTTTTTAAAGCTTCTTGAGGCATACGTTTGAGGGTTAATGTCTAAAAAATATTTTAAGATTGGTGTTTAGATCTACATAAATGATGTTAAACCCTACTGATTATATTTCATTAAACTAGCACCAGCAATATGATATTACATTAAAAAATAACCTTAAATTAATTCATTATATTAAATGAATTACATCATTAATTAAATTATTAATTAATAATATATTAGAGATATGTATTGCTGCTTACTTGATGGATAATTATGCAAGATATTCAACTCCATATATTTTCCAAATTTCAGAAACACATTTATGATCACATTTCATGTTGATTACATTGATTTAAAGTAAACAATCTGAAATGAAAGGAATTATTATGTGCAAGAGATGAAAAAAACTGTCTTTTGATATTTTTCTCTTGTTAATGTTAATAAGTGATCTCTTGTTAAAAACTATTCCCTTAGCTTCAAATGTCATTTTTGTGTGGTTAACATATTTTAACTGTGAATTTATGCTATCATCATTATCATTTGCTGTACAGCCCGGGGTGAGGACTGGTCTTCTCCAAAATAATTATCCATGTTCGCAGCCATGGCTTATGTTTAAAAATCTTATGTTTGTGACTATTTGCATCTAAACGGCTTCTTTGTTTGGCTAAAGCCAGGTTTCAGATGCATTGGTCAGCACTGAGCGTATAATAGTTCATGCAATAATAGTTTTGTATCTCTCTTTATGTCTGTTGATCAAAGAAAGTATCTAAGGCTATTTAATCATATGTTAGTTGATAGTATACGTTTTTATAGTTCGATTTTCCGGTTTTATTTTATACCATATTCCGATTAAAATCGTTTGGAGTTACTAAGTATAATGAGATCAGATTAAAAAAAGAGTTTGATAAGAAAGTTCGTTTTTTTCAATTTGAATTATCTTAACTCCTTCATCTTATTATATTCCTCTTAAATAATAATTTATCAAAAATGTCTGCCTCTTTTCAGGTTATATTAGCCCGGTTGGTGAAGCGTGTAACCCATGTCCAAGAAGTCGAGAGTTCAAACCTTGCCCGCCAAGGATCCCCGTGTAGTAAATGGTGACTGATGCACGTTAAATCTGTTGGATCACAAATGTTGGATGTAGAGAAAATTACATTATAATTCTTATTAGAAAACAGGAAGAAGAATTAAATTGAAAAGAACTATTTATTGCTGAAAAAGAGAATTGTGTCATTGAAAATACAAACTTTGCGAAGAATACATAATTTTCAAACATTTCACGCAATCATAGAAGTTATTGGAAAGTAATTTGATTAAAAGTTCAATAAGAAATGAAAACTTAACGCAGAATAAAAATGTCCAAGGAAATATTTTTAAGTTCATCTCCAACTGAGGCAGCCTTATAATCATGCACAGAGAAAGAAATTATAGTTAAAATACCGTATTCTATGGTAATAACATTTCAGGGTAAAAAAAAACAGCAACCTAATTTTGGTTAATAAAACTAAATTATAACGTATTTATACAATTCATTCGGAAATGTTTTCGCTCAATTTGTAACTGTTTACCAGAAATTCCGGTTTTTGAAACTATAGATCTTATTACGACACATTTAGTGAAAAAACTGATTATATCCGAATAAATACTTTTTATGTCATACTCTAATGTATTGTGAAAAAATTACCAAATTGTGTAACATATTTTTAAAATCCTATTTTATTGTTAATTTTACCAAAGTGCAATTCAATACCAAAGTGCCTCGGTAGAAATTACCAAGCTTTTTGGCGTTCGTAAACAAAGAAACATGGTAAATTTTGCAATACTCTGATAGTTTTATCCATACTTTTTTTTTCTCGGTGAGCGATTTCGGAGCTTTTCCCATGATTAATCTAAGTCATAAAAAATGGAAACATTTTAATTTCAATCAGTGCATACATTTTTTTCGGCGTACTACCGATGAAATAATGAACTATTACTAGTAAGACAGTTTGGAATAATACCTAGTGTAACATGCAAAAGTTTTATAATTAAGATATAATTACACAGTTCTAATTCTCTAGTTTTGACGAAGTTGGACTACATACAACCTTTACCTTTATGGACTACATACAACCTTTAACTTATACCTTTATGTTTATTCAATTTAATTTAATTATTTTTATTAACTTCCATGATTTTGAAAATTATTTTATTATGTGTGGTTTACAACTGGTTAGCAACTCAATTTTTTTTTAAATTATACATAGTTTTATAATATTTTACTTGAGTTTTTGGGGTAATCAAATTATAGTTCAAATTTGCTGAAATCATATCTTAAAAATGATTTATTTTATGTATGTGAAGTTTTTAGTTCGTTTTTGAACTTTATGGTATGTTATAGGGGTGTAAAACATTTTTGTGCCGGGAGTCCCTGCATGCTATTAAGATGGCCCTGCTATGGATCGAAATACAATAGTACGAGGTACAATACCACCGAGGTACAATAAGTTTTAATTTGAACGTACGAAATTGTTCTCGTTTCAAAATCTTTATTAACTTCCATGATTTTGAAAATTATTTTATTATGTGTGGATTACAACTGGTTAGCAACTCAATTTTTTTTAAATTATGCATAGTTTTAAAATATTTTACTTGAGTCTTTGGGGTAATCAAATTATAGTTCAAATTTGTTGAAATCATATCTTAAAAATGATTTATTTTATGTATGTGAAGTTTTTAGTTCGTTTTTGAACTTTATGGTATGTTATAGGGGTGTAAAACATTTTTGTGCCGGGAGTCCCTGCATGCTATTAAGATGGCCCTGCTATGGATCGAAATACAATAGTACGAGGTACAATACCACCGAGGTACAATAAGTTTTAATTTGAACGTACGAAATTGTTCTCGTTTCAAAATCTTTATTAACTTCCATGATTTTGAAAATTATTTTATTATGTGTGGATTACAACTGGTTAGCAACTCAATTTTTTTTAAATTATGCATAGTTTTAAAANACTTTTATATGTTTTATTCAACATATAAAAGTATTATTCCTTGATTTAAATAATTTTTTTATTATTTTCGAATTAAAATACGAGAATTATTTTTTTTTAAATTGCAATTCAATTTTTTTAATTTAGTTAAGTGATTATTAATTTCGTATTCAGCAATTTTTATTAAATTTAATTTTGAAAATGTAGAGAAAATTACATTATAATTCCTGTTTGAAAGCAGGAAGAAGAATTAAATTGAAAAGAACTATTTATTGCTGGAAAGGAAAATTGTGTCCTTGAAAATACAAACTTTGCGAAGAATACATAATTTTCAAACATTTCACGCAATCATAGAAAAATTAACGTTTCATAAATGGTGAAAAAGAAGTTATTAGAAAGTAATTTGATTAAAAGTACAATAAGAAATGAAAACTTAACGCAAAATAAAAATGTCCAAAGAAATATTTTTAAGTTCATTTCCAACTGAGGCAGCTTTTTAATCATGCACAGAGAAAAGAATTATAGTTAATAATACCGTATTGTATGGTAATGACATTTCTGGGTAAAAAAAAACTACCTAATTCAGGTTAATAAAACTAAAATATAACGTATTTATACAATTCATTCGGAAATTTTTTCGTTCAATTTGTAACGGTTTACCTAAAATTCTGGTTTTTGAAACTATAGATCTTATTACCACACATTTAGTAAAAAAACTGAAAAGTATTATATCCGAATAAATACTTTTTATGCCATACTCTAAGGTATTGTAAAAAAAATTACCAAATTGTATAACTTCTTTTTAAAAACCTATTTTATTGTTAATTTTACCAAATTCAATACCAAAGTGCTTCGGTAAAAATTACCAAGCTTCTTGGTATTCGTAAAGACCAAGAAACACGATAAATTTTGCAATACTCTGATAGTTTTATCCATACTTTTTTTTTTCTCGGTGAGCAATTTCGTAGCTTTTTCCAGTGATTAATCTAAGTCATAAAAAATGAAATCATTTTAATTTCAATCAGTGTATACATTTTTTTCGGCGTACTACCGATGAAATCATGAACTATTACTAGTAAGACAGTTTGGAATAATACCTATTGTAATATGCAAAAGTTTTAGAATTAAAATATAATTACACAGCTCTAATTCTCTAGTTTTGACGCAGTTGGACTACATACAAAACCTTTTAAACATTGTAAACATTAAACTCCGTCCTTGTTCATTAAAAAAATTTTGAAGTATCCTCATTTTTAAAAGTCAAGTAAGAACGAGATTGATTTGGTAAGAATATACTATGGATAATAAACAATAAGTTTGAATTTGAACGTACGAAATTTTTCTCGTTTCACCAATTTGTTTGTTTTGAAGGTATAAAAATTCTAGAAGCACGATGAAAGAATAAATATTATTATCTAACATATAAAAAAAAGTGTTCGTTTATATAGACAACTAAAGCAGTATGAGCACCTTAGACGCCTTATTGAACATCGCTGACCTTGGCGAGGCGTAATTTACGAGTAGTGGCGTTAACCTTACGCCTTTTGAGGCCATACTTGGAGCACCAAGCTCGAATTTCTTAAAGCAGTTTAAAGCTTTTTCTAAGCGATAATACGTTTAAATCTCATTTTTTTAAGAAACAAAATATAAATAAGAATTCATAACTATTCACTTTACAAGTTGATTTTGAGTGAAATTAGATTTCTTAAAGCCAATATCTCTTAATGATCCCTAAGCAAATCAAAAATTAATTTAAAAATAAAGTACTTTTGGGTATAGAGTAATATTTGAAGAACGCTTTTATTAAAGTCAGTTTTCTATATTAATAATAATAACGACAAGATATTGTTATAATATTATTTTTTGATTTTATAACACAGCAAAAATATGCATAACAAACGTTTTTGAATGATTTTTTAAGACATTTTTAGTCATGATTCATATTTTTCACGATAAAAAAGTTAATATAGATAAGAAATTCAAAAGTCAATATTGTTTATCATAATTTATTTCGATAGATTTGAAATAAATTATGAATAAAATTGAAAATTATTTATTGAATTTTCAATTTTTTACCACCCACAACATAGGTTAAACCAAGAATTAACTGAAAAATTAAACGCATTTATTATTGTCAAAGTCAAATAGCCAGAAAAAGAGTAAAACAAAACATCCATATAAATAAACAAAAATTATACAAACAAAATTAAATAAAATTATATGAACGAAAAATTAAACAAAAATATTTTATAAAAATATTTTACCAAAATATTAAAACTAAAATTTTGTATCCATTGATTCATTTTTATTATTCTTGGAATACCGATAAAAAATGGAATGTGAAAATTGAGATAGTACCGTAATTTTTACAAATGAAATGGATATTCCGTTAAA